TGTGTGTGTGTGTGTGTGTGTGTGTGTGTGTGCGCGTGTGTGTGTGTGCGTGTGTGTGTGTGCGCGCGTGTGTGTGTGTGTGTGTGTATGTGTGTGTGCGTGTGTGTGTGTGTGTGTGTGTGCATAGAACAAAGTGTGATGTGGCACAAGCGCCATACCAGATTTACAGACATAGGTGCTTTTGCTCAAATTGCAATCACAAAACAGTTGCGAAAGTGCTGATAGCAAGATCATCTAGAAGCCATGAGAATTACAGGTTCAACACCTACACCTACATACATATTGGCGCGGACAGACAGCAAAGAAGCACACTCCAAGTCACACATATTCTAAAAAGTAACTCAGTATCCTATAAAACAGTTCAATGATGCAGAAACATATTATTTTATGCACTTTGCAACTTTCCCGTGGGGTCGTGATTTCATTCGCGTCTAATAGGAGTGCGTGCGATGTAAAGCAGGCCACCGGGCCGGGTAGCTGATACAAACACAACCGAGCCTGCACTAGAGCAGTCACATACTTTAACATACTCGCGAACAGGTCCGTCAGCGATTGCGTCTCCCTATCATTTTTCTTCGAGCCTCCGACGCGTTCAAACCATTGCTTTGTTTGATGTGGCATGGCATGGGGCTCATCAGTGTCATCCGTAGCCGTAACCACCTGGACTGAATTCGACCGCTTTAGAGGTTGCCGCCTGAACCGGCTTTGATTGGTGGGGGTCGCACTACGCACACTGTGATTCGTGAAAGCGTAGCGTATTGGTAGGGGTATATGCAGAAAATAGTAAGATCACATATGACAAACACCGCTTTCGGTTATGACAGGTTCTGTGAAAGACTTGATAACGATGAATGACAGGCCATAAACGCAGCAGAGCGTGTCTTATACAAGCCGTTGACAATAAATGTACTCCTCAAAGAGTTTTGATACGGTTTGATGAGTATTAGAAAGTGACAGAATGGCAGGTTACAATCGCAGCAGAGTGTTTCCTACATGAGCTCCTGCAGTATACTACCTGAAGAAACCTCTGCACATATAGGCGAGCATACCTTACAGCAAAGATATCACAAATTGAACTAAGAATAAACGTGCGAGGGCATCCAAACAAACGCGTGCTAACAGTGCCATGAATGCACGACGTGACCACACAAATTTACGATTGGTCATGAGCACATACAGCATTTGAATGCTCTCACCTGAGCCAAACACTTTGCAGATGCAGAACTCCTCGAGTGACGACAAAATCTGTGTCAAGTATATAGACATAGACTCAGCACCACGACAGTATTATCGCAATATTTTGTACTCGCATCTTTACACATCACAAACCACAACACGGTAATGCCAAATCACTATCTGAAACCAAATTTCAAATAGCAAAATGACTCCAATGGAAGCCGCACTCAGCATCTCACAATGACAAACACATCCCATTTTTTGAATGTAAAATCATTGCGAATACAGAATTAGAAGTTCTTGTTGCATCACGACTACATATACACATTGGTCTAGCTATACCTCCTTGTAGACATGGTCCGTTGGATATGTGGCCTGTTGAGTGTTACCGGCGTGAGTGCACGGTTGTGTTTGTTGTGCAAATCGGTATTCAGACTGACAGCAGCTCCACAGCCACAGTCACAGAGCTCCTTCTTTGATTCGTTGAACCATTGCTGGATCATCTTCTTCCGAAGTCTGACATCAGCTTCATTGAAAGTCTACCGACAAAACGTTGGCAGGTGCATTGAAAGGGGCTATTGTTAGTTTGAAGTCACAAAGATTCACTACATGTATATGTAATGGCAGTTGGTCAAAGCACAGCTCTATTGTACATTTACATCCTACAGAAATGTACTGTACGCACACGCATACGTATTTTAGAACACATATATAAAATGAAGATAAAATATCTATATATAACCACACAAACTTCATTTTGAAGATACAAGCACATGCATATAGATGTACACAAATATATATATGGCACAATCCAAAATCAAGCAACACGCTCAAAAATATCTAAGCAAGCAGGTGTATGCATAATACAGATATATACGCATTACAGATATATATTGTTCACTTTATACCGAACTTTTCATTGGCAAATAAATATATACCTTAATTTAATGTATATGTCTTTGCGTATCTATATGTCAAAGATGTTTTAACCTTCGAAGCGTACATACACAAACAAATCATAAAACGTACTCGGATAGATTAAGCACTTACAAAACTTCGAATATTGACGAGTACGTATGCTACAAATGACTGTTCAACTAGCGCACTTGCTTTTGTACAGGTTCTTATACCATGGAAGTATATTGGCACGTGTGATTTATGAGTGTATAGACTGCGAATATGGATATCGACTGACATACATGCACACGCACACAAACACGCACATACACACACACACATAT